AAGCTTAATGGTTTTCACTTGGTGGAGAAATGGCATTCCTTTTTAATGGTTAATTAATAAATGAACTGATGATGATGAATGGCTCCCATTTTTCTTCCTGGTAATGAAATGATACACAATTTTTCCTCTATGTTTCTAATTATCAGAGGGAACATTCCCCGCTCTCTCATGTAATCTGGGGACATTTTCATTATCATGGATACAAAAGAAGCAGCTGCACCGTTGCAGTCAAGACACAAGGTGGAATGGAGTGATTTTGTTTATCAGTTACTTAAAAAATGACTGTCAACATGTAATTATCATAATATAATAGGGGGCATTGTGTGCATCATACATTCCAAAACACTTGATGATGTATACTATGATAAACTATATATTATATGACATACACTCATCTATTAGTTCACAAGTAATTGATCATGGCATTGGCATTAACTCATTAACTGATATTATGTCAACTGAAAGTTAACTACAGTGTTAAACTGCAGGAAGGAATAAACAGCATATGAAATGTAGGAACCCCCATCACCTAAAAATCATGAAATACAGGTTTGAGGTTTGAGTTTTTTCTTTGTGAGGCTCTCTGCACAGATGCGAGAGACTTGATACATGCAGTGCATGAGATCACACTGTTAAAAATAAAGCAACTCCTGTCACTGTGAAGCTCTGAGCGTAGTCCAAAGACCAGATCAGAAACAGGGACATAACAAGCAGATGAAGGTTCAGCACACAATGTGACACCATTTTGGGAGCTGAGAAATTTGTCATGGAGGAAGACGGGTGCGTGCGGGTGTGTGCTTCATTGATTGCTGCAAGAAAATTCCCCGTAGCACAAATCAATAGTATGAGCAGTTGCACGACAGAGGTAAAAACAGAAGGGAAAAATTCACCATCCGATGCATCAGAATAAATTTCTATTCAAGTTACTCAGGATGCTGCAGAAGATCGTTTCATGCGGTTTGTTTGCAAAAGAATTTTAAGATCATTTGATTATTAGAGAAACACAAAAAACCCTCCAAACCTATATATACTCAAAATGATACCTAAACTTGATTATTGACTACTGCTCGTTATTCCAATCAATACTATTGATCACTCATCTTCGATGTTTTGACTATAAAACCCATCAGGAACATGATTTCCCAAACAGGAAGGTCATGCATGTAAATTGCAAAAAAAAAAAGTTTTGGAAGAAACCATAAGTTCAGACGTCATGTTTGGTGATGATTAACCAATCAGTGGAGCTTTTGAAACACAACACAAGTCAGTAGTATATGAAAGACTTACGGGTTTTGCGGTGACTGTGCGTACGTGTGGTGAGTGTGGTGGAGATCGTCTCTGTAGTAGTATGTTCTGCCGTCCACATCTGTGTAGAGTCATGAAGAACCGTCGGATTGGGCGGTGAGGAGCTCGATGTTGCAGCTCCAATTATGAAAGTTGTGCGTGGTGCTGCAGTAGTTGTGGTAAAACCCGAAGGTCCGCGTCCATTACGACTTCCGGGATTCCGAGGAGTTACCTGACTGCCTGACGCCCCGCCCCCTCTAGCATTTATAGTTGTGGTGGTAGCAGTAGTGCGAGTTCTACCTTTTGCCACAGTAGCAGTTCTAGCAGTGGGGTTCCTGCTATCGATTGTAGGAGTAGTTGTAGTAGTGGTAGTATCGGGGCTCTTGGGAATCCCACTTGGCTTGGAGAGGAAGATGGGATCTTGTCCTATTCGATTTGCATCCACTAGATCTGTTGGGACGTAATCCCTCACTGTACCAACAACAATCCATTTCAGCAGCATCAGGCTCAATCCAAGGCCAATAAAACCAATAAGTAATGGAACCACACACAGCCATGTCTGCTGGCGAGGCCAAACTGCACAGCGAAGGGGACCCTGTTCCTGGGCCTGGCCCTCCCCACGGCCCGCAGAAGCCCCCGAACCTTCAGGTTCTTCCAGGATTACTGCCCCAGATGCAGCTGCCCCAGAACACTCACTCATCATTCCCTGTCGTCCTTTATGGCTCATTAAGGGTTAACTCTGTGATAGGCATCGTTTGCACATGGCAGAAAGGTTTCCAACAAGGCCAGAGAAAAAAAACAAATGGAAATTTGAAGGAATGGACCCCACAGAATCTGTCTCTCAATAACACACACACAAAAATATGTATTCCAAGGATGGACAGAGAGGAAAAAGGGTGCAGGAGGTACATGCATGCACACAATCACAAACGCTCAAGCACACACACTCACACGCAGAGACACCCAGAGGAAAATTGAAGAGCTGGCATAGATGTGTAAGTGTTTAGTCCGTGTTTAGTCCTGCTCAACTCTCAATGTCCAGCTGAAGCAACAGTGAACTCCAATAGTCTTCACAGCAGGGTTAACAAGAGGAAAAATGGAAGAAGTGATGCCTCTAATAGGGAGTAACAAGGAGAGATGGAAGGGAGAGATGGATGGGAAGAAACAGATTTACATCTGTACGTGTAGGAAATCCATGGCATCAGTATTTGGATGCCATTGCAGCAAAAAAGGAGAAAAAGAATCCAAAACACTTTTCCTTAACATGCCGAATGTGTCCCCTCCATGTAGAATCCACGACGGGACAGTAATATCGAATCAGAGAGTTAAACTTGCAGGGTGGGTCTAGTTGCTTCCCCACCCTGGGCAGGACCGAAAAAAAGAAAAGAAAATGTTTCCTGATGCAGTCTGTTCCGACTGCTTTAGCCGAGTCAGCGTCCTTCACATCCCAAAATCGGTCTCTTTCATAACTAAAAAAGAGTGCTCACTAAGACGTGTATCGCTTATGCGTCTTTTCAACACTCTCCTATGATAATCTGCTAATCTTTCTCTCCCATTGCTTTTCGAGCAGCCTCCTCCGTTTCACCTAAAAAAATCCAAACTCCCTTTGCTCCTTTTTTATATTTACAATATTCCAATAAGGCTAAAAATAAAGCAGTAGAATCCAATTAATTTTCTTGATCCAGTCAAAAAATAACACTCAAGATGAGGACAGAGAGATGGATGGTGGGGGGAAAAGAATGAGGGGTGTTGTTGCACAGTATCACAGGGCGGATAAATCTGCAACTGCGACGCGTGATCCTGCTCCTTCTCCAGCCGGCTGTGGATCAGATTCCTCCAAGCTGTCCGCTCAGCTCTCTACTGACTCAGTGTACTGTTTGTTAATACTGCAGCAAGCGCACAGAAAGCCTCTTCTCATCTATTTGCAGGGAGCAAATTCCGGCACAGAGGAATAAATTGTGAGAGGAAGAGGATGAGAAGCATGGGAAAGACAAAAAGAATTGAAAGCAAAAGAATAGAAAACACGAGGAAAGAGGAAAATCGTAAACAGGACACCACAATGTTGAAAATATATCCCACTGATTCTTTTTCTGAGAAGTATTATATTTTCCTCAGTCCCTGGAAGCCTGTGCTCTTTCCAGTCAGCGTGTGATTTGTTGGTCTGTTTGCTGGGGTCCTCTGCTCGTCGTTCCCTCTAGGATGCGTTCTTCAAGATGATTAGAAATGTGCGCCCCGCGCCGGGATGAGAACTTGCAGCCGCAGCAGCAAAGGCTCCCCAACCCCCCCTCGGGGTTAGCAACATCAGATGATACAGCTGTCTTTACCTGTGGCAATTGGGATGCAGACAAACATGCAGCTGCTTCCCTGAGCTGCCGCCACTGAGAGACCAAGAACGAAAGAGAAGGGAGAAAAAAAACGCAGGCACAGACAGAGCAGAGTGCACACTGGTTGAGCGAGAGGAGAGAGAGAGCGAGAGGGAGAGACAGACAGAGAGAGGCAGAGAGCAAGGGTGGGAGGAGAGAAAGAGGCTGCACCTGCTAGATGCACCAGCACTGGGAAGCTTGCCCACCTCCGTTAGCAGGGAGGGGAGCGAGTAAAGATGCAGACTGCATACAGAAAACTAGAAAAAAAAGGGTGGTGGGGTACAGATAAGGATAATGAGTGTGTGTATGTGTGTGTTTGTGTGTGTGTTGGGGGGTAAGGGGCAGGAAAAGACAGCTCTGCAGCAGCACAGGCAGTTACCGGTGAGGAGTCCCAGATGGATCAGAGCGGAGCCACAACGCATGAGCCGCCACTCATTTGTTCAGACCCCACCCACTGCACAGCATTAGAGGAGAGACTGGGGAAAAAACAAAGAGATGTATTTGCAGCACTTTTATCACAAATAGACTCAGCCATCAGAATCTGACGGGTGAATGTGAATGTGAATAATTGTCTCCTGTATAAATGCCACAGTCCATTTTCTCCAATGATAGCTTTCAACTTTGAAATAAATGTTTAGTTTCTTCCATGTAGTGCAGTACCTGTTTTTGCATATGGTTAAATAAATCCTGTGTTTGTAATTCAAGAGCAACTTAAAACTAAAGCTGCTGCTACATCGTTGAAGTCTACTCTCCCTATTTTTATGTGTCTTTATCCTTCTATGTACAAATGTTCTTGTCAGTATTTCTACTAGAATGATAGCATCATGAGACAGACACTAGTATAAAGTCATGCAGATAGCCATCTGCCTGTAGGAGAATCCTTCAATTGGTCCCACAGGGAAACCCAAGGGATGCCCACAGTCTCTTTCTGTCTTCTGACAAACAAATATCTAATACCCAATACTGTTAAAAGAGGCACCAGCGTAGTGCTTTTAAAGAGCTGCCAATAATCACATTGGAAAACAGCCAAAAGGACATAAGTTACATGTTAACCCATTTGCACTT